ACACTTTTCAGGAGATGAACGGATCCACTGGGTGAACTGAAAGATTAAACCCGTTGCTCTTTCTTTTTTGGGCGGCTTGCAATTGGGTTTCCAGTTTCTCTATTCTATGGGCTTTTCTTGTATGACATTACCGGTACGATCTTGTTATGAGAGAGAGCGGCCAACACAATTTAAATCGGTAATCATAGATATTTTAAGTTAATCCCAATAAACAGGTATCGCTTCCAAGTGGGATTATGAAAATATGATGGAAGAAAGTAGTCATCTTCAATTAATTTTATCATATTGGCTCAATAAATTTCAATTTTACTACAAACTGTCATCATTTACAAAGTTAGCTTTAAATAAATAGCAAAAAAAAAAAATGTTTGTAATTAATTAGTAGTACTTCGAGAATAATATAATATTATGTAGGTTATTTAATAATCCTGGTAATCGTGCCGAGCTGTGGTTGGACCAAAGACCGTCCAATGTTAACTGGTTTAATTTTTGGAATTGTTGACAAAATTCAGTCATGGATGGGTTCTGCGTAGCGCTATCTAATTACCATATACCAACAGCACTACGCTTTTAAGAAAAAAATAAGGTTCTATGATGTCAGTAGCCGCCACCAAACGGAGTCAGTTTTCAATGGATGTGATGGTAATGATCGTTTAATGGCTTCATAGAATATCTCGATCGTATACGCATTTTGCTTATTGGACGTAGCCATTTAACCAGAACAGAGCTTCACTTATCTAAACACAATCTGCGACGTTTTGAAAGCGTTGGTCTAGCGTTAAACTGAACTGACAAGCCTTACTGAACAGAAGTGTCGACACATTCTAATATTCTTAGCTACCAAAGCATATTTATCGATAACAATAGTTCTTATGCAACTTAAAAAACATCCTATAAAAGCATCTAACCCATAGGCACAAAATATGAACGGTATATGTAGTGTGTTATACACTCTACTAATAGTTAGATTCACCTTTGTTTCTTAAGTATGAAGAAACTTATACGATATTATCAAATGATATACGATGTGAGATAACTGTCTGTTATACAGACATTTTATATAGATAATAGGACTATCAGCAATATTTATTATAATGCTTAAGCTTAATTGGGGTTAAACTCTCAATATTTATGAAAACTCGTAAATAATGGACACTAAATGGTTGATCTGTGATCTCTATATGCAATATCTATAATGTAGAGTAAAATATATATATTTATTTTTTTGTGAATAGATACATATTATATCTGCCACTCAAATCTGTGGACCGGAACCTTATTGTGGATTAAGTTGGTCTACAACTAGGTCTCTAATTGATAAATGGTTTTCAGTCGAGAGAAGTCGCTACTAGCGCGACAGTCAAAGTAATCGTCAGGCCAAAGAGCTGGTTCACCTCTACAGTTTTGGGGGTGAGGTGTCCTTCTTCAGCAAAACAGAGTTAAGGTTGTTGGTTGGATATTTCATGGTTGGACCATGGAGTGCTTTATCATCTTAACAAAATGAGTCTGCTTAGAAGCAGACACGACTTCCAATCACATTCTATGTGACTACCCAGCCTTCATCTGAGCCAGGAGGAGGTCACTACGTCGAGAACTACTTTCCTCTTCTGACATTAGAAGGTCTGACATTCTAGCCTTCATTCAGAAGGCGGAATGTCTTCTGTTCGGTTAGGTTATGTTGCGGTACAAAAGATCAATCATGGTCGCAGTAGTTAGAACCCCGTTCATTCCCATTCTAATTCCTACATACTGTATACTCTTGTATTCTCTAGATCTTGAAAAAGCCAACCTATACGCTTTGATTGTAGTCAGCCGGCAAGATATCATTGCTATAATATTTTGTATAAGTAAATAACTAACTAAAGCAAACATAAACAAAAATAAAATGTTTATTTATTTTTTATTTTATCACTTCAAGTTTTTTTTCACAAACTTATGGAGCTTCGTACTTTACCCACACTTCGAAGTACGCATTTCACTTTGAATTCGCATCAATCCAAAATTCAAGCAAATCAACAACTTTTCACACAACTAATTGTTTATGCACGTAAGTATGTATGCCTGTATGAATGGGTATGCATGTACGTATGTTTCGCTCATATGTGTAAATAAATTATATGAGTTTGTTTTGATTTAGTGATGGCTGGGGAACCGCGATTTCGACGACCTACATAGACCTACGTACCATATGTAAAATGAAGGAAAATGAATAAAAGTGAAATAAAATTAAAGTTGTTTATGGCATTATCAGAACGGCTTTTGTTGTGCTCTTAATATTTGTTTACATTTCAAATGTTTTGTGTACACAAATAAAAATTACACGGCACTCGTAGTCGCACTCACACTAACAGATCTAGTAACATTGCCCGCGGGTCTACTGCGTATCAAATGAAAAACGCCAACTTCTTGCGTGTATCTTGTATCTCGTATCTGCGTATCTGCGTTTTTGCGTTTTTGCGGAGATAAGAAAGTGTATCGGCACACAAACGCCTGAGTCAAGATACAGTGTTTATTTTTTTTTTTTTTTTGTGATAACACAAAACAATAACAAATGAAAAATAATAATAATAACAAAATAAAAAATTTAAAAAAAATAAATAAAAACTTTTTTAAATCGCCTTTTTGCGTTCTTCGACGCTCAATGAATTCGTTTTTGACCCAGTAAAATAGTTTTGCGTTCGTTTGTGTGCGCTATTTTGCTTATTTGATAACAAATAAAATAATAATAAATATTAATGATAACAAAAAAATAACAATGGAATATAGCAACAAAGTAATTACAAACTGTTATCAAAATAAAAAATAGAAAAAGAAATTAAACGAAAATAAATATTAGAATAAATAAGATTCAATTTCAGAAAATTGCCTTCATTTCAAAACAATTGAGAACGCAACGAACTGTGCTTCACATTCCACAATTATAAAAAAAAATACATATATAATAAAATAAATTTAAGAAATATTTAACAATTTATATAGAAATTGCATTATCAGACCTCTCTCAGCCATCAGCCATAATGAATAATAGTTTATTAAACCTGCC